AATAAATAAAATAACAAAATATGTGTAAAATAAAATAATAAAATATATGTAAAATAAAATAATAAATAAAATAACCAAATATATGTAAAATAAAATAATAAATAAAATAACAAAATATGTGTAAAATAATATAATAAAATATATATAAAATAAAATAAAATATATATATATATAATAAAATAATAAATAAAATAATAAAATATATGTAAAATAAAATAACAAAATATCTAATAAAATAAAATAATAAATATGTGTAAAAAATATATATAAAAAATAAAATATATATAAATAATAATAATAATAATATGAATAAGAATAAGAATAAAAATAGAAAATCCATTTGCCATAATTCGTTTTAGATAATTCGATAAAAAAAACTTTAGACAAATGTAACACCTATGAATAAATATTTAAGAAAACTGCATTTCTACGAATACACATACCCACACCCACACACACACACACACACAAATATGCAGTTATTGCATTAAAGTCATGGCAATAACCAATATCACGATAAAATCGTATTTTCTTTGACAATTGTTCTCCCCTTAGTCTTTGCTTGCAGAGAGAAAAAGAAAAAGAAGAAGAAGAAGAAGAAAAAATAAAACAAAAAGGAAAAAATAAGAAAAACAGAAAATGATAGTGAAACGAAAAGACTAAAAGAAAGAAAAAAACTCAACAACAAAAAAAAAAATATAAAATATAAAAAGAAAATGATAGAAACACATAGAGAACAACAAACATACAGATAATGCAATAATCGTAGACGAAGGATTTTTTTCAGATCAGATCTTCATAGTGTTTTAACGCCATTTGCCATAAGAGGAGGAAGAAGAATTGCTTTCTCGAACTGGAAACATTTTCATGGGCAGACTACTTGATGGATGTCGGTCGAGTTTCGTGATTTAGAGTCTTTGAAGGAATTCCTTATCCACCTGAATCCAATCAAATCAATCCAAATTCTAACGTAAGAATTTGATAAAAAGCATTCAACACATTGAAACACAATCAAAACTTTGTCCCACTTTTCTTTTCATACACCCTTTTTCTTATTTTTTTTTTTTTTTCATGTTTAACCTTAATGCACTATGACATTACCTACTTTGCATTTTAACTTACACATATACATATACATATATATATATAAAAGTCATGTAAATGTATTACAGTTATGTGTATGTTCTTATTTGCTCATGAATATTTTCAACTTTCTTTTTATGATACGTAAAACTTTAACTTTATTTTTTTGTTTTTGTTTTTTTTTTTACTACTACTTTCAAGATTATATTTATACGAACTGTGAAGAAATTTGTTCGACGATACGTTGTTGTGTAAAAATACATGAATATATATTACACATATACACTTATAAATATATATATATATATATTTGTATCGTGTGTATGTAAAAACATGGAATAAATTTGAGAAACGTTTGAAGAAACATTTTTCAGCTATATAAACATTCAACGAGATTATTCATGTGAAAATTGTATTATTTTTCTTGTAAATTGTTTAAATATATATATATATATACAGGGTGAATCAACAAATTCAATTATCAAGAATAATTTTGTAGAATTATACATAGTATAAAAAAAAAAAAAAAAATAAAATGGAAAGTCAACCAAATTTATTTTCATTTGTGATATCAAGTTGAAATAATTTTTATATAAAATTGTTTTTAAACTATTTAAATACATATATATATATTCATGTGTGTGTGTATAGTGTATATATACAGGGTGAGTCACTAAATTCAATCAGGAATAATTTTTATAATTACACATTGTATAAAAAACCCGAAAAGTAAAGTCAACCAAATTTATTTTCATTTGTGATGTCAAGTTGAAATAATTTTTGTATAAAATTGTTTTTAAACTATTTAAATACATATATATATTCATGTGTCTGTGTATAGTGTATATATACAGGGTGAGTCACTAAATTCAATCAGGAATAATTGTTTAACTATACATTGTATAAAAAAAAAAAAATAAAAAGTAAAGTCAACCAAATGTATTTTCATTTGTTGTCATCAAGTTGTTTAGTGTTTGATATCAAAATTATTTCAAATGATCAAATTAGGTACTTCATTCTGCATATGTGTGTGTATATATGTGTGTGTATTATAGATACAGGTATGTAATGTATAATTCAATCAAGTATTTCTCAGGTATTCTCCAATTTCCGTGTCAGGTGATAAAACGTGATTTACGAAACCATTGATTTAATTAATTCAAATCATTTGACTCCTTTCTAAACTATTAACAAAATGATACAAAATTTATAAACAAAATGTATACATTGTATTTTATATATATATATATATATATATGAAATGTTTAAAAATCAAATTTAAAAAAAAAAACAACACTTTGTTGGTTATGTTTATTTTTATTCATTTTTGACAAAATACTACGATGCTTCAACGAGTATTTAAATTGAAAACTTCATATCCACTTTCAATTTTTATTTTTATTATTTTTTTTCTTTTTTTGTTTTTTTTTTCAAAACCACTCAATGAATAATAAAAATCAATTGAACAAATTTGTATTGAAAACATTTTTTTTCTCTTCATCTATCGAACTATAATAAAAATTTCAATCGCACTTATACTTTGTAAAAAGAAAAAGAAAAAGAAAAATTGCAAATTATGAGAATTATCATGAATTATTATTATTAACAATAAGAACAGATAAATGTGATGTGTTTAAAAAATGTGATAAGTGTTTGTATACATTTTTGTTATCATTGATTTGTAATCCATCTGTTTATTATTAATTTATTTCAAAAGTGTAATCACAATTGTCGTAAAAACAAAAAAAATCAGAAGATGACACATGAGTGAAAGAAAGAGAGACAGACAGACAGAGAGAGAAAGAGAAAGAGAGAAAGAGATTTAAAAAAAGATAAAAAGTATTTAATAATTTATATTTATAAATTGATGCATATAGAAAAAAGATGACACAAAAGTTTACAAAGAAGAAGAAGAAGAAGAAGAAGAAAAAAGATAGAAGAAGTTAATCAAAAATAATAAAACGATAAATAATTGAACCGTTTCAGTGTACACATCGATTAACTGCATAAAACAAAAAGTTGAAAAATGCCATGAAATAATTTTCTATTAACTTTATTATTCAATGATCAAAAAAAAAAAAAAAAAAATGTTGCCATTTAAAGGTGCAATTTCATGCTGACACTTGACACTAGGCTTTGAGCGTTCAATTTGACCACATTATATAATTTTGATTAAAGTGCCATCTAAATAAGAAGCAACGATAAAGTTGAAAATATTTGAGCTTTCAATTAATTAACTCTGGTATCAATTAATTACTTGACGCTACAAAAGTAAACATACAGGCAGTTGCGCTCTTGTTAGATATTATTTAATAATTATTTATGAATTATTATAATATATAACATATTATGAATTTTGAAAAAAGGTAATACCTATAACAATTTTTTGTTTAATATAAATTAAACAGATCATTGTTTGCTTTGTACAAAATTAAATATTACATTATAATCTATTATTATACTCATAAAAATATAAACAAATATTTTCATATGCCTTACACATGTTATACAAAACAACAAATGATCATTAATTGAGCTAATTTGACTCTATGAACATTTGATTATTATATATTTATAAAATTTAAAAAAAAAACTATTTTTTAAAAGCTTATATTTTGGTTTTTAATTATACGTAATGAAATATACGTAAATATTAATTCGATTCCTTTAATTCAACCCATCATTCAAACAATGTTATTAAATCATGAAAAAATAATGAACAAAACATCCGTAAATCTAGTGTTAAATGGTGTTGTTGTTAATCATTATTATTCAATCAAGTTATTTTTTAGAAATATAAAATAGTTATGACTATATCAAGTGGTTTGACACACATCAAATTTAAGGATTTTTTTTTTTTTTTTCAAAAAGTTCAGTTAATCGATGTGTGCATTGAACAATGGCTCAAATGAATGAAAAAAAAAGCTAGTTTGCAAAACTTAAAAGAGCAAAGCAACATATTTATGCTATCATACTTACGAGCAACAGATTTTTATTTTTTTTAATTTTTTTTTATAATAGATACTATATATTCTACGTAAAATATAATAAGAAAGAGAAAAAAAAATTGATACGACAGGTATAACAAGGTGAGTAAGTGAGTGGGTGGGTGGGTGGTGGTAAGTACGTGTTAAAGGATCGATAAGATAACTTTATTTTTTGTTATCCATTTTCCTATCTATCAGATAATTAAAATGAACCAAAAAATAAAAAAAAAAATGATAAAGAAAAAAAAAAGAATATAAGTGTACTTGTAGAAATGTTTGTTGTTATATATTATTTATATATATTTTTTTTATTTGTAAAAAAAATTACGATTCAAATCATTGGCAATCATTTTCAGAAACATCAGTCAAAAGTATAAAAAAAAGAAAAATAATTTATTTCTATATTAAAAATATTTTTTATAAATAAGAAAACATCTAAAAGAACATGATGAAAGTAATAGGAATAATAATAAAAAAATAAATAAAAAAATAAATAAAAAAAAAAAAAAAGTAAGCACAATATCAATGATATAAAAGAAGAAAAAAATAATTTATTTCTATATTAAAAATTTTTTTTATAAAAATAAAAAAATATAACAAAAATTCTTAAATGTAATAGGAACAATAATAAAAAAAAAATATATTAAAAAAATGAAAGTAATTAACACTAATAATAAATAAAAGAAAGAGTAAGCAAAATATAAATGCATATGAAATACATCAAAATATATATGTACATATGTAAATATAAAGATATGTAAATATGTATTTGAAAATGAATAAATAAAATGATATTATTAATATTATTATTATTATTATTATTATTATAATTATTATAAATATAAATTGTTTACCGGACGCTAGTAGTTCTGGTTTGACTCAAACTTGAATGTCTTTTCATTGGTGTTCTGTAACCTCTCCTAGGACAACAAATCCACCATCCACCACAAGCAGCTGCTAAGAAACTTTCACGGAAATGTTTCGACATGAATCCATAGATGATTGGATTGATGCAACTGAAAAAAATTAATCAAACAAACACCACCCCCGCACACACCCCCACCTTCTTTTTCGTTATTCTTTTTCTTATTTCATTTATCTTATAATTTTAACTACTATATACTAAATTATATAAGAAGATAAGAAGTTTATTTCAGGTATACCCTTTTAGGGTGTTTACCCCGAAGGCCCCCCCCCCCTACAATATACTAAATTATATAATATAATATTATATTATATTATATTGTATTTTATTATATTTTATTTTAGTATATTATAGTATATTATATTAAATTTTATTGTAATGTATTTTATTATATTACATTATATATTATTATATTATACTATATTGTATTTTACTTTATTATATTATATTATATTATATTATATTATATTATATTATATTATATTTTTTGTTATATTTTATTTTAATATATTATAGTATATTAAATTATATAATATTATATTATATTATATTGTATTTTATTATATTATTAATGATATTATATTTTATTATATGATATGGGATCTTTTTGAAGGTAATGTTAAGAGTGGGGCGGGGGGGGGGAAAGAACAAACATGAAATTTAAAACATTAATATAAGATAAATCACAAAGACAAAAAATGAATAATGAAACGAGATAGAAGATAAAAATATAATATTGCGATCGAATATAACAGCAAGAAAACTTTTGAGTTAATCGTATGCTCTAAGGAAATGACCTACTTCTACAATCTAATTAACTCAGAAGATTCCTACGTGACATTGTACACAGAAAATCCTATGTAAATAGATCCATCTTATTTTGTTCAACAAAATGAATATTTCTCATGACAAATCTTATGTAAATCTATTAAATTATTCATCGATCATAATTACATTCACAATGTAATAATATATATCACAATTTTTGTTATATTCCTTTTTTTTTTTTATCATTTATTAATAATAAAATAAATATTAATTTAATTAATCAAATATAATGATTAATTTTATTATTTAATTTTGTCAACCTTCAAATCAAATTCTAATTTTTTAATTCTAAAAAAATTGTATATTTATTTTATTTCTATCAATTCGTTTCACTGTATATTTAATATAATTTTGTAATAAATTAAAATTGAATAATAATTACAACAAAAAAAAGTAAATTGTGTTAAATTATAATCAAAATTTTCGAATATTGTGAATAATCAATTTGCAATTTTGAAATGTAACAATTTTAAACAAACGAATAATTCTATATAGGAATAAAAAAAAATTAAATTAAATTATATTACAATCAAAACTTTCGAATATTGTGAATAATCAATTTGCAATTTTAAAATGTAACAATCTTAAACAAACGAATAATTCTAAATAGGATTAAAAAAATCAAATTAAATTACAATCAAAACTGTAAAATATTGTAAATAATAAACTTGCAATTTTAAAATGTAACAATTTTAAACAAACGAATAATTTTATATAGGATTAAAAAAATCAAATTGAATTAAATTACAATCAAAACTTTCAAATATTGTGAATAATCAATTTGCAATTTTAAAATGTAACAATCTTAAACAAACGAATAATTCTATATAG